ACGGCCCCTCGGGGCTTTCTGTTGACATAGCTATCTGGTGCCAGTTTGAATTATGACCTTCATTTTATGTGTCTGATGCCTTTTCATAGACTGAATATTTGATCAGACTGAAATGGCTTCTGTTGGTTCAGAGAGGCTGGTTCAGTGTAGCTGAAAGCTGTAAATGACTGCTGCTGGGCTGGGTGTCTGCACTATCAAAGGAGTTGCAGAGGGAAGGAGTCTCTGCATTTTATTACTGTTCTGTCAGTGAAAGCATATGTTAACGATGTCAGGACACTTACATTTAAATCCAGACAGGCATTTTCAATTCACATATAGCTCCTGTATGTCTCTGTAGCAGAGACAACTCTCCCCTCAGCTTCCTTGCTTGATTAGGTATCCACTATGCATACACAGTATGGACTTTTTGGGTTTGATGTAATTTATCTGAAATATTTTTGTGGACTGACTGTGGAGTAGATTTGCATGTGACTGAGTAAAGCACAACATGGGTTTTGTCTGCCACCTGCAGCAGAGGAGACCACAAGAGAGACTGCATTTCAGGGGTGCCCCATTGCATCAACCTGTCAGTGAAGCTGCTGCTTAGATGTACTCGGAAAGAAAAGGAAGGCAAATAGCTCATAAAATATACCCTGGCCTTTCTCTAGCCACTATCTCAGCAGGATGCTGTCCAGGACAGTCAGGTAATTAAAGGTCACAGTGGGTTTGCAAGGCAGGGGTGCATGGAGGAAAGAGTCTTTACTGAAATACTGGTGAAGATCAGATGCTGCTGCTGTTCCTCACGTCCATGCAAGATAATTACAATTCCTTTCACATTGCTCCAAACATAGCTATTTCTTGAGATCTAATGTCAAGAGGTATAGATCTGTATTAATTTGTTTATAATACAACATATACAAAGCAACAATTGTGTGCAAGAGCTAGAAGGAGGTGATCTGCAGCACTACTACTTCCTGGCTTGTGGAGTTGATGCATTTGTGCAGGGATGGCAAAAAAGAAGCACAAGTAAAGCTTTGATGTTTGCGATTGTCTAAAGAAGAAAGTGCAGATCAGTCCCAGGAGCGTGTGTGGGCTCACCCCTTAAGCACGCCACAAAATCCCTGTTACTGATTGTCTCCTTCTGTTGCAGCAATGCTGCGATTGCTGTAATCTGGGCTTGCGATTAAGGAGTGAGGGGAAGACCTGCGAGTCCAACATAAATCTGGGCTACCCGTGCAGTCATGTGATGCTGTCCTGCTGTGAAGGGGGAGATCACTTCGTCCATCCAGAAATAAAAAGGCATCCTGAGCCTTTGCCAACAGTGACACCTGAGAAGGGTGAGTGTCCATTTATGATCTGAAGACATTGCAGATAAAGTCTGTCTCACATGGTCATACAGGGAGGTGTTGGAAGGAGCAATGCTACAGGAGCACAGTTTCCTTCCCTCTCACATCAAGTATAGACTTTCTTGTTCTTAAAACAGTTTTGAAAAAGGAAAAAAAAAAAGCAGATGTTTCTGATCCTCAAAACATACCTTTTTTAGTGGTTTGGGGGTTTTGTTTGTTTTCCCTGCTCTGAGTCACATAGTACAGAGACCTACTGCTAGCTCGTGGTAAGAAGCAAAGTTGAAGCTGGGCATTGTCTTTTAGCAGAAGCAGTCCTGAAAGATTCTGCATAGAGCAAATTTTGAGTTTTTTCCAGACAAAATTGTCCCATGGATTACAATACCAATGAAACATCTTGGGAATAGATTTCCTGTTGTGCTGCTTTTTCATGACATACTGGAGAAGCCCCAGAGCACTGCAAGTTTGGTTTTACTCTTTCAACGTACGAACACAGTGATGCTGAAGAGCTAAGACAAATCCCGGCAGCCAGAGAGGCATGACCCAAGGGGGCATGACAAATCTGGAGCTTGGAGAACCACGCTTCCTCCCTCTGTCCAAGGTCACGCTCCATCCAGCACCACTTTGTAGCCACCTGTCATGCACGAGTGGCATGGTAACCTTGCGCATGTGCCAGGGTTCCATTTTTTTCCATTCTCATGAACTAAATGTGTGTTTCTCTCACCAACAAATGTAAGGGTTTATTTTGACCTAGCTGAGACCTCACTGAGCGAGGAAGTTTGCATGCATATGTTTAGGAACAGCTGACTGAGAAACTCGCTGAACAATTAATTGTAGTATTGCAGAAAGTCTTGTCAAACTTGGTCAGGAAATGGAAAGGATAGTGGTTTTGCCAGTGTTTAAAAGCAGGAGGCAGGAGAGCCATGTCATTATTAAGTGGGTCCCAGAATGTTTGTAGTGCTAGCTAAAGAAGTAGCCAATAAATTACTAGTGATGTTGAAAAGAGTTTCCAAACCAACTGGATAAGTTTTTCTCCTGAAATTAGAAATTCTGTGTGGTTCTTCAGTAGGGCCAATTTCAGGTGCAGCTTCAACATGAGACCTTAGTTCAAATAGCAATAGCTGTGGTGTTAGTAGTCAGTGCGAAAGGTGACCTTGTGACCTTCCAGGGTCACCCTTTTTCTCAGTGGCTTCTGCAAAATGTCTGTCCCTCCAGCCTTATGGAAGGAGGTGGTGGATCTTCAGCACAATGGTTGTGTCTTCAGGATGGGTTCATTTGTTCTTGTCGTTGGAGTAACTGTTTTGAGTAAATTTGACAGTACCTGGAGTTTGTGTGACCAAACACTCCATATTATACAGTCCTAGTGCTAAAATACCTGTTAGATAACCAGCAAATGTTCTGTTGTAGTTTCAGAGACGGAAGGTCACAATGAAGCTTTGTCCATCAGTAATGAAGCTGAACTGTCAAATAACCTGCCTGGAGATGACCTGGATGAATGTCTTATCTATGGTGGGGAACTCTGTCAGCATTTGTGTATAAACACTGTGGGGTCCTACAAGTGTTCATGTTTTCCAGAATTCACTTTGCAAGATGATGGGACCAGCTGCTCTCCAGGTGAGAAAATGGGCAGGAAACACCATGAATGATGGTGTCTTTGTGCCACCTGCATTGATATATCAAGCTTTTCTTTAGTTTCTTGGAGGGTTTTTATGCATGTTCATGCATGGACCTTTTTCATAGAAATTGGATAGGTTAATAATCTGAAAAAACCCCCAGCCATTTAGGAAATTTAATTATGCCTTATTTTTGTGTATTGGTGTCATGAGATCAGGGTGGTATTTAATATATTCAAATCAAGACTCTCTTCACTTTTCAGAAGAGGATTTGTAAAGATTGTTAATGCAATACCTTTTCTTTTATGAGACATCTTGTATTTCACAGCTTTCCCTTAAATAAACTATATTCAGTTCAGACAGACAGCATTGCTTTCAGAACTTTGATTTTTATCTAAAATCATTAACGTCTTTCAGTGATACAAAATCTAAATATATCTGGTGTGGTGGCATTCTCGGAAAGGAAGTCTGTTGTGTTGTAATTGTTTTGATGCCTGGAGTTCTCCAATGGCAAGATTTCAAGTCAGATAACCCGAAAAGTTGAAAAACCTGTATTAGTTACAAGTGCTTTCAGTTATTTAACAAGCGAAATAAGCATTGCCATCCAATGACAAAATTCCATAGACTTCAAATACTTTCAGCCCAAGCTAAACAATGAGCGTTCATTACGTCATTCTTCTCAACGTGATGTTACAGCGCTTACATCAGTAATGTGTTTGACAGCATTTCTGTGGCAGCTGTCTGCTCTCTTGTTTGTATAAAAATTCTGGGGAAGGAACCTAATCCAAAAGAGGCAAAGAAAATGGTTTGTATTTTAGCACTGCAAAATTTGGCTTGATCGCTCACCTGGAGCACAGGCGTGTTTTTGTTTTGCTTTGCTTTGCTTTCCCCACTGCTAACGCCATTGAAGTACAGATTCAGGTTAACACATCGTACAGCTGGGTAGTCAGTATTCTTGGCAGATCTGCAAGACTGCAGTGCTTACGGCTGTGCCAGGGAGTGTAGAGGGATTTACAGAGCTCAGCTGAGGTAGAGGACTGCAACAAGGGTAGGGACCTGCAAGGGAGACATCTGAGACACATGGGAAGAGTGAGGCGAGGAAGGGTTGTTGCTGTCGTTCTCAAGTTCTGGGTCAAGTTGAAGGCTGGGTGGCCTGAGAGACTGGGTGTCCTGGGCAGGACACCTCGCTCGCTACACTTGGCTAAACCATGTGTGCTCTACATTGGCAATGTGGCATAGTGGGCCTTTTATTTCTCATTTTTCCTCTGTGTCTGTGTGTGGAGACCCACACCAGACAGTTTTAAATTTCATACTGTTGATAATTTTTGCTCCTGGGATGAGATGCAGTACTTTTGTATTTGTACCTCTCCCAGTACATTTCCTGCTCTTTGCTGGAAATGTGAATGCTTTTGTATTTAACTTTTGCTTTTTAAAACATGTCACACTTTTTCATGAGGCTTGGAAGAAGTGATGCTCTCGTAGTGGCTCTGTGAGACAAGGAGAAAGTGTGCATTGATGAAAATTTTTGTCTTCTTTTTTAAATGAAGTCGCTTTTCCCATACCCTGAACCTATATTGCAATCACAATTAGTCATTTAATGTTGTCATTGTTTGGTGGCTCACACTTAGCTCCAGGTGACACTTGAACTCAAATCGATAGGAACAGGATACATTCCTCTAAAGGAAGAATTTAGCCTTATGGATTTAGGCTTCCATGTTGATGATATTGATAAACTGCTTACTCTTATTGATGTAACAGAGTTGGTTTTTTTAACTGTTCTGATATCTTTAAGATTACTATTTGTTGAAAATCTTAATGACAGATAGCAGCTGTCATGTTTTCCACTTGGCTGTGTAAAAGTCATTTCAGAGTATCCTGTGCTGGTAAAGGTGAGAACCTGCTTTTCATCTGTGTTGAAATAAGATGTACAGAATAAGTTCAAAGACTTGTTTTGGGTTCAGTTTTTTTTTTCATCATACACTGATTGAAAGACAGCCACGGCCTCTACAGTGTAGGAGCATTTTAAAAAATAAACACTTTGTTTGATTCATTAGGTGTTGCAATATTTTATTCCACAGAAGTTATTTTCAGCCAAGCTCCCTGATCTGTATCCATGGCATCTCTGAGCATCTCCATTAGCCTGCAGCACTCAGGCAGTTGCTCATACCAAACAGATGGCAGCTTCCAAAACTGCCTATTTACCTCCACGCACAGACAGTTGTTGAGGTCACCAAAATCTTTCCTCCTACAAACCATGATGGAGTGGGATGAATGGCACTGGCACCCTTGCCATGGGGGGCCTGCTGGAGATGATGCTGTCCCTGATCCACCTCTGCCTCTCTTGCGTTACAGATCCTGACAGAGGACAGGTGACAAAGCTGGAAGCAGAAGCCACCATCCCTCCAGCTGCCTCTCCCTCTCAGCCTATTCTCATTGTGTCCTTACAAGAAGAGCAAGATAAGTGTAAAGGTACGTTGGAAGTGTAAACTGCAAATGCAGACGAGTGAGGAGTGTTTAGAAAGCCAGAATAAAATTCCACACATCCCATCACCAATCTGATTTCAGCGCACATCCTTAATTTGTTACCTCTGGCATAAGGCTGAAGAATTGTCAGGGGAATCCTGAGGAAGTAATTGGAGGCTATACTCTGATTTCAGGGTTATTACACACCTGCTATTTAGTTTAAGGTAAGTACTGCAGCTGTGCAGCACAGTGTGAACAGTACAGGTAGGAGTGGCACAGGTGTGTTTCTGTGTAATAGGAGGGTTGTAAGTAGTGATTAGGGCTGCCTGGGAAGATTGTTTACAATTGCATTCCCCATTTCTTAAACTGGGATTGTATCTGGATGACCTGGAGGTTCAGCTGATCTGTGTTGTGAATGCTAATGTATTTTGCAATTTTGCTTTGTACAGATAACGGCCCCTGCAAGCACATCTGCAGTATTGTGGAAGAAAGTGTTGTATGCTCTTGTTTGTCTGGATACACCATTATGGCTGATGGGATTTCTTGTGAAGGTAAGTGGTTTGGGTTCACCACACAGACATGGTTAAAACACTTCTATATCTCATACCCCTGAGTGTTTCTCTAAGGTGTTTCTCCAATGTTTGCAGTATTGTGAATTGCAAGTGCAGTACAGAGACCATTTGGCAGAAGGAATACCAGATCTGCTTCACAGATAACTCCTGAAGCACGTCTGTGCAGTGTTACCTGGGGACTTCAGGTGAAAGCATGCCTGGATTTGTGCTCTTTTCCTCTAATATTCCAGGCTTTTTTCCAGCCCTCTTGGTTTCTCTTTGCACTACCATTCCTCCCCAGTGTCTGTCTGCACAGCTATGGACACATAGCTTTTCTTCCTGAGAATGGGAGCAGCTAGCAGGATGTGGACGTGTTTGGTGTCCTGAGGAACTCCTGCAGAGCTACGGCTCTGCCCTGTCAGTGCTTTTGTTTACTTTTATTTCTGCTTGCTTTGAAAATCTGAATTCAATGAGGCTTCACTGCCATGAAGAATGTGCCACTGTGAGCCAGTCCAGCTCCATGTGTTTCACCTGACACTGAAGCTCAGACCCGCACAATGGTGAACAGTGAATTCCAAAGCTGCATCATGATCATTCACATTATATAAATTTTAAATGGATGTGTTTGGGTATTGCCAAAGTATATGTTTGCCTAGGAAAGATTTGAGGATCAGAAGTAATGCCCTGTAACATACCTTAATTATAAATGTGTAAGTATGGGAGCAATAACAGCCAGCAGTGAAATGCAAGTAAAAGCTTTTGATGCTGAGAATCACTCACAAGTGATTCACATACCTCTTAATCTCAGATCTTATTGAATAACGAATCATTCTCATGAAATTCCAGATAGTCTGTGAAGAAAATGGGAATTTAATATCACTAGATAAAATATTCACTGTGCATTGCTTACTCAAGTGTGGTGGAAGCTGATTTGATTAATTAATGTCAGAATCGAAATGGGCAATTCAAGGCAATCTTTTTCCTACAGGAGATGAAAAAGTTCAGAAATGTCAGTGGAAGTAGTGAGTTTAAATAGTAGCAGGAGACATTTGTAATGTATATTAAAGTAAGTATTTGATGGTAACGTGGGGAGGCACCGGAACAGGTTTCCTGCAAAGAGAGTGCCTTGCTGCTGTGTGACTGCCTGTTTTTTAAGAATGGCTCTTTCTGGAATGACAAAAGTGCAGGGGTGCGAGCAAGGACTGGATGATATCTGAGGGTTTATTCCAGTCCTATTTTCAGTGTAACACTGTATGTATTACAGCACGGTGCTGATGTGGTAGTTCCAACACACTTCATTTAGACATCTCCAGTGTGGAAAAAAATGTTGTTTCATTTCAGAAATTGTTCTAATAGAATTCTGTTTTTCCCTTTTGGTTGCAACATGTTGATATAGATTTGGATGAGTGCCTCGCAGGTGCTCACGCTTGTTCCAGAGGACAATTATGTGTGAACACATTGGGATCATTCTACTGTGTCAACCACAGAGTGATCTGTGCAGAGGGCTTTATACTCAACAGGCATAGAAAATGTGTTGGTAAGATGATAGGTATAAGCCATTCACCACAGCATCATAATTCTTCTTGCTCTGCAATGCATTTAAGCCATTTGTGCTAAAAAGCTCTTTGGCCATCTTTGCATATGACATTTCAATATGAGTCAGTAAAAACACATGTGCACCATTTGCTCAGCCACTTAACATCATGAGTTGTATGCTATTTGGCTTTTTCCCTAGCAATACATTCTCAAGATACATATAACTTTGCACAAAAGTCATAGAAGTTTGTAGGTATGATGACCGCAGCAGTAGTGGTGACTATTAAACTAGTCTAAGAAAACATAGCAGTTGATCTCTCTGGACAGTGCCAATACAGACAAATCCCCAGACATCATGATACAACGAAACTGCATAAATACAGCTCAAGAAATCTGCGTAAGTCCAGGCAGTGGAAAAGATCATTCCAAAGTGATGGAATTTTAAAATTCAGATTAGTCCTTTGTTGATTCTGGCACTAATTTCTTTGTCTAAAAGTCAAAGATGTGTCATAATTCTGCTGTATCATCCCTGCTATTTAAGTTCATATAAGAAACCAATCTGTTTTTACAAGTGTATTTATGAGGATTTCATCTGCTTGAAAAAGCCAAGGCCTACCTTGGGGTATTTTTCTAGAGGCTGGTTTAGGAGGCACCTGAGCTGCAGCGGTGTTGTGTGGTAAGGCCTGGAAAACCGGAGCACCTGGAGCCCTCTGAACACTAATGAAAGCAGCAGTGCCTGCAACTATAATGTCATGTGTGAATACATTCGCCTTCTTCCACCCCTGTCCTTCTCCTTGCATTTATAACATCGTTTTTCTGACCATATCTAGTGTCTACAGCTTTGGTTTTGTTCTTGTCTTTTAAAACTCAGTGATCTCATCTTACTGATGAGCATTATATGGCATGAGGGCATGAGCAGGAGAGTTAATACGGTGTCCTAGTTTAGAGCAGAAATGTGATTTGCTGTCTTCTTGGGTTTTTCTTAAATTGTCAACATTGGAATTAAAAAAAAAATATATTTTTATTTTTAAATCAGAGATACTGGTAAGCATGGAAAACTAATGACATTATTTAATTTAAATTAAATGGCTGAGTGAATGCCACCGGAAGGATGACTTTACAGAGAAAGTATGAGATTGTGAGATGGAAGATGGTATTTTTAGTTGGCCGCAGCCTGCGTGCTGTGTTTCATGGCTTTCAGAGCCTGCTGCATGTACCACAATTCTGACTGTAAGGTCTGGTAAGTGGGCAGCTGAGGTAACTGCCTTGCTCTGCTTTCTGCTTCTCCAGATTTTGCCATTTAATCCCATGATGTTTTTCCTGCACTGTGCAGTAGGGATAGATCTGTCCTTTTCTACATCTCCTGTAATATTTTGAAAGTAAATGCATGCATGTTTATCAGCAACTTTGGCAGAAGGTGCTATAGAAGACGCCAAGTGCTTCCTTTTGCTCGCTTTCTTCCTCTCCTGTCCTCTACCTCATGACGTTATAACAGAATTTTATTGTGAGTGATAAATGATAAACCTCAGGCATCGCTAATAAAATGAAAGATACAGCTCTCATTTGTAAAGCTAGAAGATTCTGTTCTCCCTCACTAAATAACAAACCACTGTATTTTTCTAATGCCAGTCAGGCTTTTACAGGTATTCTTGTAAATAATCTAGAAAACTTTAAAGTTTCTCTTTCTGTTTGGATAGATGTGCCCTTTGTGCTTCCTACTTGCATACAGCTCTGCTCTCTGTGTGGTGCCTAGAGAACATTTGCCATATTTATTACTTTATTTATTATTTGCCATTTTTATTACTTTCCTAGTCAAAGGGGAAAGCCCCAAGCACACTGTGGTTTCTGTTTTGTTCAGTTCCCCCATTGCAGCCACATTCTCTTACAATATCCTCTTCCAGCTTCACTGCTTTTGTGCTCCATCTTCAACTGTCTCAGACACCATGAGGAAAGCTTTGTCATTGGTTTGCATATTGGTGTCGCTTTAATGATGTTGCTCTTTGCGTATTTTAGGGACTGGAGGAACAATCTTTGCACAGCAACAGAACAGCTGATAACCTTTTATCTCTTGAATTTCCTTTAGTCAGAAGGTGGAAGATTATAATTCCAGGTGCACTCAAGAGCAGATATCCAGCATTCC